TGTGGGCCAGTTGTGGTTCTCAGCCTGACCCACCTCGCAAGGGTGTTGTGAGGCTGAAAAGGCGAGAAAGCGGGGGACTGTGGAAGCCGTCCTGCCTTCTGCATGCGAGGAGCAAAAGCGGGAAACAAGTACAAGGTAACGACCGTCGTGGAGGCAAGTTAGCTACTTTTGGGCCCCGCAGCGGTTCTGTGGGCCGCAGGGGAGGCGGGGCTCTTGAGCCCTCGGGCGCCTGGCAGTCCTCGCTCTGTGTGGCGCTCCTGTCACGTGGCCCTGTGGGCTCCTGGGGCCGGGGCACTGTTGGTCTCCCCGGAGCACACGGCTGCGTGGCAGGCCCTGGCATAAAGCCGGGGAAGAGGGTTGGCTGGGGGGCATCTGCCCCCCCCCCCCCCGTGCCTGGGAGGGAGAGGGAGGGCAGCCCAGCCTCCCTGCAAGCGGCCCTGGGGCAGAGGGTGCCTTCCTGGGGGAAGAGGCTGCCCTTGCTAGGGGCTGGAGCTTTGGCAATTCTGCTTCCTGCCCAGACAGCCCGGGACCCGTGGGACCCACCCAGGGCCAGTGGCTGGGGGAGGCGAGGGGAGGGGAGGGGGGCGAGGGGAGGGAGGCCCTCGCAGATGGACCGGCCCCAGAAGGAACCCGCAGCCTGGCACTTGGAAGGGCTTGCTGGGCACCAATTCTAGGGGTCACCCTTGGTCGGGGATAGCTCAAGGGCACGGGGCAACCGCTGGATGGACTGCAGCTTGTCACTGTGTTGTTGTGTGGCCTGGACCCGGCCGTGTGGACCAGCGGCCCGTGAAGAGAACCCCTGGTTTGCTCTTGGGGTGACCTGCCACCCTGAGCCGAGTGGCTCTGCTCTCTTCGGCTCACTGCCTCTCTGCAGCCCCGGGGGGCTGTCGCAGCTGCTTTGCCCCTTGAGCCAGAGGTGGGGGTGCTGCCAAGCCCCCTTCACTGCCCTTCTGTGTGTGGAAGAGAGATGCTGTTCCAGAACCCGGAGGGGAGCAGCACACCCTGTGCAGCTCAGGGCACCCCGCCCCCCGCCACCTTGCGAGGCCCTTTGCGAAGCCAGCTTTGATTCGGCGCAGCTCCGGAGCGGCTGCGAGGAGACGACATCGAAGGGCCACTGCGAAGTGGCCTTGACTTGGAGCCCCTGGAGGCGCCCAGGAGGCCCCGGAGCAATGCCTTCCCTGCCCCCCACCCCACCGCCCCCTGCCAAGGCCTGCTTTACATCTGAATCCCCGAGGCGGGAGGGTGGGGGGGGCTCGCACTCTTCTTGCTTCCTGGTCCTTTCAGAGGGGCGGTCGGCGGTGCCAGCCAAGTTCCTGTCACTGCAAATGGGTTGCTTTTCTCAGGGGCCTTTTCTTGGCTCTGCCTTCCTGAGCCGGGTGCTGCGTGAGGGGGGCAGAGTGCCCGGCCCGGCCCTGGGACAGCCCCTGCCGCAGCGGCCCTCGCACGGGGGGCGCCAACCCAGTCCCGCAGCACCGGGTGCAGCAAAGCCGCAGGAGGGGCCGGTGATGCTCCGGCGACTGGCAGAGATGCCACCCCCTGGTCTGGCACACGGCCCGCCCCCCCAGCCTCCCCCAGCCATGTCCGGGGGGAGGTGCCGTCACGCTGCCGAGCCCAAACGGGAGCTGCTGCCCTCTGTGGCCAGTCCTGCCCGGGGGCGGGGGGGCGGGTAGGGTGCCCAGAGGGTGGCAGGCAAGGAGGGGGTCGGAGCAGCAGAAACGGGATCGGTTCCTGGTGCTCAGCTAGTCTCAGATGCCAAACCGCACTTTTAATCTGCCTCGGTAAACATTGTGACTTGGGAGGAGTGAGGAGGCAGCTGCGGAGTGTGGAACGGAGGTGGGGGGGGATGAGGAGAGAAGCGCTGGGGACTTTGGTGTGGCGCACTAGATGTGCTGGATGTGTCCCTCCTGGGCAGCCGGCAACGCCATCGATTCCAGGGTCTAAAATTACTTTGCCACACCGTTGACCCCGGGGGGCTGTTCTTTCATCCAACAAGAGGAGCACGGAGTTGGAAAATCCCAGGCGAGTTCTGGAGGCTGCCGCACTCCGGGGATCTCTTGGAAGGCAGCTCGGGGGGGAGGGCGATGTTTGGACATAGGCAGGGGGCAGCTGCCTGGTCACAGAGGCGGGGGGGGGGTGGAGAGGACGGGCTGTTGGCCGGAGGGATGCGGCGGCTGCCTCGATCTTCTCCCTGGGTGTAGCCAAATTCGAGAGTTAATTATTGCAGAGGGTCACGAGGGCATCTCATGGGGTGGCCGGGACACCTCCAGGGAATCCCTCGGCCCGAACGAACGGGACGTGGTGCGAGAGCCGGCCTTGCTCTGGAGCCGGGCTTCGAGGAAGGAGGTGAGTCCTTCAGGTGAGGGTCGCCTTCGCGCTCACTCTTTTAGTGAAGAAAGCCAGCAGTCCCTGGTTTGGCGAGGGAGGCCTGGAGGTGGATCACCAGCTGCACCGAGTGTCCATCGAGCCTCCAAAAACGGTCTCGGGCGCCTGCGTAGCTGGTCCAGGGAGCAGGACAGGGACTGCTTCGGGGCGAGCGAGCGCACTTCCCGGCACCCTGCTGGGATGCTCCCGCCAGAGTGCGCCGTGCGTTCGCCTCCTTATGTGTGCACCAGAGCTTGGCTCAGGAACTATCTGCCTCTGGGCATGTGCAGAGGGCCTTCACTGCACAGCTCCTGTTCATGTCACTGTGCCCCACACACACACACACACACGTCTGCCTGTCTTTCGCTCTGCCCCCGGCCCCTGTGCTGGGCCCCAGAGCCAGGGGGTTTCCTTCCCTGGTCCGTGTGGCGTGCTGGGAGCTTGCCCGTATGCCTCCAGGCCCCCTTCTGGAGAGGCTCCCTGTGGCGGGCACCCGCTCACAGTGGTGCCTGGGGCAGCCAACGGCTGGAGCCTCGGGGGCACCTTGGTGGCGCTGCAGGGCCAGGGGCAGCTCCCTTGGCCTGCCGGGATGAGCGGCACGGGGAGAGGGGCCGGCCGGGCTCTCTGGCACCCCAGGCCCCGCAGCGTGTTGGTCCCCTCCGGCAGGTGCGGGCTGTTTGCTGCCACTCCCCACGCCTGCCTGAGGCGGGCACCCAGTCCACTTCCTGGGAGGGCCGGCCCTCTGGAAAGCCTGGGGGCACTGTGGCTTCTTCTGGGGGGGCTCCTCCGCGGCCCCCCACGCATGCGTGAGCCTGGCGGTGGGTGGTCCATTGCAGCAGCCTGGCAGGGGGCGGAGGTGAGCCGGGCGGGCAGCGTAACGCGAGGGGGGACCGGTGGCTGCAGCGGGGGGGGGGGGGCAGGGAGGCCGGCGGTTGGCCTGGGGGAGGCAGAGCTGGAGATGCGGTGGGGGCAGTCGGGCGAGAGATGTGGCTGCCCTAGCAAGAGCGGCCTCTCCGGATGCAGGCGCCCCCCCGTGCAGCGCCGCCGGCCCAAGGCCACGGGGGCATTTGGGGCAGGAAAGCCCCGGCGTGCCTGGCCATGCAGTGCGCCAGTGGAGCCGGAGCGTCACCCGCTTCCTGGGAGGGCGGGCCCCGGAGGTCCCACACCGGCTGCATTCCTGCCTGCCATCCCGAGACCTGCGGATCGACCGCTTCTCCGACAGCCAGACCGAGCACCAACCGCGTCGCCAAACGCACGCGGAAGGTCCTGGGCCTTGGAGCGGCAGGCGGAAATTCGGCCGGGGTGCCTGCGTGTTAGGAGGGGGCTGGACCTGGCCAGTCGCAGCTCTGAGCGAGGAGCGGGAAGCGCCCGTCCGTCCGCCCGTGTGCTCAGAAGGCGGGTCCCCCGCAGGAGGAAGCGACGGGGAGGGCAAAGTGCAGGGGCGGGCGGGGGGGCAGAGAGCGCGGCTGCGTCAGCGAGTGTGTCAGGAGCCTCAGCCGCTCGGCCCAAGGGCCCCCTGCCCCCGTCCTGCTCCCCTCCCCTCCCCTCCCGCGGGGATCTCGCCCCTCTCCCCCTGCCAGTCCTGGGCGCTGGTGCCACGGCGGTGCGCCCTGCTGTCCTCTGGGGCTGCCACGTCTTCAAAGCAGAGCGGCTGCTGCTAAAGGCAGGGGAGCAGGTCGGCAAAAAGACGGGGCAACTCCCCCCGCCCCAGCTTTCGGGCTCGTGGCCGGGGGCTCGAGCGGTGCCCGCGCTTGCTGCTTTTCCGGCATCTCTGGCCGAGGCCTTGCGCTCGGCGCGCCTCCGCTGGAGGAAACCCCACTGAGGGCAATGGCTGCTACTCCCGTGCAAGCGTGCGCCGGACTGGGGCCGGCCTTGCCCTGAGGTGCCGTCATGTCGGTGCCTCTCGCTGGGCGCGCTTCCCCGGCCGGTGCCGGCGGGAGAGAGCGGGGCGGGCGTGCGCTTTCGCGTACTGCGGGGGGCCACCGGCTCTCCGTGGCTGGAGGCAGGATGCTGGGCCGTGTCCAGGTGAGGCTGGGAAGGCCCCTCCCCCAAAGTAGGCGATGCTGAGCCAGCGGGGCGCAGGCGGGCCGCGATCCACCAGGCGGCGCCGCTCGGAGGGGAGACTCCGGGAAGGCTCGCTCGGCGGCGCCGGCGCCGGCGCGGCACCGGAGTGGCTGCTGCCCCAAGGGCATTTCCCCTCACCTGCCGGCCTTATCTCTGTTTGCACAGCACGGGAGAGGTGGCACCGGCAGTGCCAGCTTTTGCTGACGGGGCCCTTTGCATGCCAGCTTTTGCTGACGGGGCCCTTTCCTGGCTGAATGGGCCCTGGAGAGGATTCTCCCACACACGCCCCTTGGGAGGGAGTGCGGGCCGCCTGCGGGCCACGGTGCAAAGGAGCGGGAGAGCCGGGCAAACCGAGGGCCGGGCACGAGGGGCACAGCACCCTCCTGCCCACGTTCCCCAGCTGCTGGTGCCCACAGGCCCCCTGGCTCTGGGCCATGAGGACTAGTAGCAGCGATAGCCTTCGCAGTCTTCCATGAAGTTGCCCACTCTCCTTGTAAGGCCATGTAAGCCGGTGGCCATTGCGACATCCTTTATTGTTCCAGCCAGATAAGTGGTCGGCCACTGAGTCCTCTGATTTGCCACTGGGCCACGGACACCCGGCAAGGGGGCATTGCATGATCGGCCTGCTGAGAGGCTGGGTGAAGCAGGGCCCCCATAAAAATGTGCGTGTGCCCAGGGCCTTCCTGAGGCCATCTGACGGAAGGCCCGGT